CTTCAAGAGTTCCTCCTACTTTCTCTTCCAGGAGATTTAGTGTCTCTGCTTTAATGTTTAGATCTTTAATCCATTTTGACTTTAGTTTTGTGCATGGTGATAGACCTGGGTCAAGTTTGAGTTTTCAGCATGTAGAGAGCCAGTTTTTCCAGCACCATTTGTTAAAGAGGGTATCTTTTTTCACCAGTGAGTATGTTTGGCCCCTTTGTCAAAGATAAGGTGGCTGAGTGTGTTCGTAGGGGCTAAAGTCATGTTTGATTTTTTAAGTTATTGAAAGTCTTTTCAGTGAGGTTAACTGAGGATGAGGAGGGTGTTGAAAGTCTGAATAGAGATGAAAAAGTAGGATCAGTGGGCATTGAGCCTGGCCAGTTGAAGGTTCAAGTAACACCAGCTAACACGGTTATAGTTTCTCTAGTTGAGATAGATTAGGTAAGGAGTAGCCAGTTTATTTGGCTTAGACTTCTAAATAAAGCAAATGCAGATGAGTGTATAAGAATAATTATAATGGTGGGGTATTGAACTGAAAGCCTGGATGAAGGAAGCCAAGAAAGGAGTGGGCAGAATGAGGTGGTTAGTAAACTGTAGGATATGGCCAGGTTGGAAACCGGTGGGGGTGCTTCAGGAAGCAACAGAAAGAGTGGTGATGTTCATATAATTGGATCTTTTAAACTGAGATGAAGGAGTTTCTGGTACAGCATATTAACTATAAATGGTCAAAACCTACGTAGATCACCTAAGGAGAGCAAGTCAAGGGTACTGGAGGAACTACATCAACTATGATCATAGTAGTTTTGGCAGAATGACATTAAGCCAGCTAAAGTTAATGTTTGAGCTAGTGCCAGGGCCTTACATCATTGCCAAGTTGTTTATATAGCGTAATCTCCCAGATCATGTAATTAGCTTTTTTCCTTTGTATATAGCATTATACATGCATGTTTAACACGTTATATTTAAGAAACTTTTTTTATTGGCAGAACTGGGGATTGGATTCAGTCCCTTGCGCTTGCCAGGCAACCGCTTATTCTACTGAGCTACCTTCCTGGCTCCCAAGAAACTTCATTGAGCTCCAAGAAATTAAAATAATTTTGAGTTGGGTAATGATTTTGTGTTAAATCCTAATGAAGATGCTTCATTAATAAAAATTCAGGCACTTAACATATGGTCTCAAAGAATGGAGATAAAGTGCCCTTGGATGCCGAGTGGCCAGATGACTGCTGGATGGCCAGTCCCTGGGTAGAAGCGAAGAGTATTATGCCTTTAGTGAAGGAAAAAGGCTTGGTGCACCACAAGGATGCACTTTAGTAAAAAGGCGTTCATAGTTGGAAGATCAGTACTTCCTGGTTGGAATTTAATAGTGTGCCCATATTTTAGTTTATTGCTAAAACCTATTCACAGCTATATTATCCTGATTATAACTGCCCTATTCTTGGCAGTAGTGTCCAGTTTCTATCTTGGCACATGTACTTTGCTTTCTGGACATGTTTGTGTAAAAAAATGGATGAAAAGCTAATCTTTCTCTTTTGTTCCTTGATAAATCCTTTTTAAATTTATATTGAGGCGTATAAAAAATTAGAAACTGTACACTTGAGACTAGTGGATTACAAAATGTCAGGAAATAAATATTTCTAATCTTGTCTGTCTTAATGGAAGACACCTGATTTTGGATGTAAAAGTGTTAATATAATGAGGGCAGCATTTAGAACAGTTAAGAAGCACCTTAGGGGTAAATCTCAAGAGCTTCTAAAGTGTTAGAAGATCAAGGTGATCTGGTCACTTTTTCTGACCAGTGTGATGTGTGACACTCTTAAAAGTTGACATAGGCCATGGATGTGGCATGACTTGCATAAGTGAAGTGGCAGATGATTAACATCTTTGAGCCTTCCAGTTGGAACTGAAGGAGTTCTGGGTAGTGACGAAAGCAAAGGTAAAAGTCAGTCTAAGGAAATTCTCACCTTCTGACCAGGCAGCATGGCCCCAAGAAAGGGAGCAGATCCCGGCAGCAGTGCGAGGGGAGTGAACTTGAGCTGACACTGCTGTCTGGAAAGTCGACCCCTAGTTCATGGGCATGTTTCCCAGCCCTTGCTACAGCATTTCACTTTATCTCCCATTTAGTGATAGGGTTGTTTCTTAATTTTTTTTTTAATGTGTGTGTGTGTGGCCAGCTCAGCCCACCAGGTGGCAGGACTGGCTGGCATGTGGTGCTGGGGGATTGAACCATGGTCCCTGGGCTTTGCTAAGCTTGTTCTAAGTAGCTGCTTTAGACCACTGAGCCATCTCACCAGCCCCCAGGGTTGTTTCTATTAAATATACATTCAAAGGTCTGTAACCAAGGGAAATACGTATTTATAAAATTTATGTCCTTAGTGTAATTGAGATGAGACCCACTACTCATGCTACCAGTGTACTTCTACCTATAAAAATAAGTACTTAAAATGTTTGCAACAGTTGACATAAGAACTCTGGAGAATTACTATTTAGCAGAAACTAGCTGGGTAAGTCGTTGGAGTTAAATTAGATGAACTGAGGACTTTATCTTGAAATTCACAAAAAGGTGAAAAAGCTCTTAAGATGGACTTCTTGTCAGTTGTTTGTTTTTTTTTTTTTTTTTTTGCAGAACCGGGGACTGAACTTGGGTCCTTGCGCTTGCCAGGGAAGCACTTACTCTACTGAGCCATCTCCCCGACCCCAAAGCATGTATTGATTTATTTATTTGGTGCAGGATCTCACTATGCAAGCTCAGCTCGGACATTTTTTTTTTCTGGAACCAGGGATTGAACTCAGGCCTTTGCGCTTGCCAGGCAAGCACTTATTCAACTGAGCTATCTCCCTGGTCCTCTTGTCAGTTTTAAGGAGAATCTGAATTGGGGGAAGAAAAACTGTCTAAAGATTTATACTAGAAATCCAGTGGATGATTTGTAGTGGGAAACTTCAATGGCATTGAAGTATCCTTAACAGAATACTGTTTACTCTATCCAAATACTATGCTATGTTGGCTGGCAAATCACAGTCAAAAGAATGGATTTTAGAACTCTATCTAATGGGATATTTGCAGACTTATTCAGAGAACACAAGTCACAAGTGCGTCAGCTGGGCTATTAATCAAAATCCAGTTTTGGTGGGCCTGGGGCAGGCACTCTAGAAGAGCAACGTAACAATGTACAGATTTTCCTTGTTTGATTCTGTGCTGCTCCTTGTCCACATAAACTCAGTCATTAAAGCTAGAGCTATTCCAACTTGAGACAGAAGAAACAGATTCTCAGTTGTCCACATAACAAGTGCAGGTTTCATGTCCTTTCTGTGAAATTATTGGGACCAGAAGTGTTTCAGATTTTAGTTTATCAGATACTGCAACGTTTGCATTGTATTTGTCAAGTCAGCATGCCTAAGTGAAAAACAAACATGCTTTAAAATCCAAAACTTTTCAATCATGTTGGCATTAAAAAGTTGCAGATTTTACAGTCCTGCGTTAGGGATGCTCACCCTGTGTGCAGAGTGCTCCTTGAAAAGAGGACAATTTGTTATCTACAGGCATCTGTGGGTGACATTCAGAAAACAACCGTAGTTGTCCTCTAAAAGGTGATTAGGGTATCACCAATTAATGAGATTTAACTGCCACTTATGTGCAAACGAAAGAAATAAAAATCAGACCAGAACAGCCTTATGAAAATTTTTAGTAAATGTTTTCCTCAGTTTATTTTCTGTATTCCTTAAAAACAAACAAACAAACACCCCTCACATTCCCTACTAATGGTTTAAAACACGGTACACTCAAGCAAACTCACTCATCCTGCCAGCTGGTCTATGTTCTCTTTACTTCTGTTGGCCAGGTGGTCCTCGATAATTTCTGCAAACAGAGTTCTTTGCAACAGATTATATGCAAGAGGTAAAAGCTGCCCAGCCACTTTGTGAAAATACTGAAAAACAAAAGAATATAGTATTAAGTGAATAATATACCCTAGTAGGGAGAAAAAAAAATACTGAAGCAGTACCTGTTTTAACAAAGCCTACTGTCAAAAATGTTAGCTACTTGCTCAGTGAACAGTGAATTTTAGGACAGCCACCTGATGTCAGCTGTAGTTGTATGACTAAGATTAAAGGCATCTCTTGAAAAAAACGAAGTTACAACAAATGAAGCCTCTCTAGTCCCTTAGGCTTTATCAACTTTTTTTGCCCCAAACTATGTCCTCAATTACTTTTTCCTCCATTGCAATATATTCCCACCAGTAAAATACTTTGCTTTTTTCTTTGTGATACCCTGCAAGAATAGGTTTCAAATCACTGTCACATTCCTGCTGCCATGTGACCACTTCACCTCTGTTACAGGCTTAATTTTCACAGCACAGCTGTTACTATGCACCAGCAGAAAAACTACCGATTCTTTGGTTGATAAATCTGATTGAATTATTTGCCATTTCTTGTATTTTACCTTAACACAAGGTAAATACTATCCAACACCTTTTTACTCATGTTATTCTCACAACAATCTTTAAGTTTGTTACTTAACCGACTCATATCTCGTGGGTTTACGTTTTTATGTGTTGGCACTTTCTGGTAGCTTAAGCACTATATTTTGATCAGTCAGTGACTATCATTTTTGTTGTTAAATATTTTGGTGACTTTTACTGACCATATATAAGGTAAGGAAAGAGAGAGAGAGATAATAGAATAGGGCTTTTAGCGGGGTTCTCATTGTGACCTGTCCTACCCAGAGGCTTCAACTTCACCTGCTAGCTTGTAAGAAATGGAATTTCTCAGTATCCAGCCAAGAACTCAGTCTAAGGTGGAGGAAAGTATATGGAGCTCAGTCTGTGTTTCAACAAACTCTCTAGGAGACACTGATGCATGTTAATGCTAGACCTACTTTGGTCTTGCCCCAAGAGTCTGTAAAGTAGCAGCATTACTGTCCCCAGGAGCATGCCGGAAATGTGTACTCTCAGAACTACTGAAGTAGAGTTCCAATTTTAATAATATCCCCAGGTGATTCCTACACACTTTATAGTCTAGGAATTACTTAGATAATAACCTAGATATTAACATAGGAAGCAGGTGGCTCGTGCAGTCCTGGGCAAAATGCTTTGCTTTCCTAAAACTTGGGTAGATTAAATGAGAATTAAATGGCCTGGTACAGGGCAGGGGCGATACATGCACATGTGCACACAGGCAGGCATTTTATCGGTAAGGACAAAGACACAATGTTCGATAGAGTGCCTGGTATTACACAGCCAGAAGAATGTTACATCTGCCCTACCTGATTGCCTTTTTAACCTTCAGCACTGGTTTAATTATTAAGTAAATTCTTCTAATTCAATGAGCAAATAATTAACAAGAACTATTATCTCCTGTATTTTAATTTAAAGCATATTTTAAAATAGTATTTATCAGCTGGGTACAGTGACAGATACCTGTAGTTCCAGTATTTGGAAGGCTGAGGCAGGAGTGCTGAGAATTCAAGGCCACTCACATAGTGAGTTTAAGACCTTTGTAAACTATATAATGAGAACCTCTCTCAAAAAAGAAAAAAAGAAAAGAAATGGACCCAAAGGTGTGCAAATACACACCATATACACAAGCACAAATACACTTATCAAACTAAATGGCATACCCCTATTATATGTCTAATAAATAAACTTACTTTAAACCTGAAGGAACTAATCTTGGGTTATTCACCTTTGAATATAAGATGGATTAAATATTTTCAGTCCATCTACTTAAAAATCACTTTGAAAGTTCATTTTGATAGAAGCTGTTCCCATAGCTTACCTCGGCCAGAATTTGGGGAACATGAACATGCACGCATCAGTATGTATCTGTAGAAGTGTATTTTTTAACTCACATGTGATCCATAGCAAAAGAGGTCCATCCCTAGCTCCAGCCCCATGCCGTAATCACATTCGTCATTAGCGAACTGCACGAAAGTCATCATTTCCTGGATGGGAGCGAAGGCTTTTAGTCTCTCTTCATCAGTGGCAGCCTCAACAATGGTTTTGCAAATTTTCTTGAGGTCAGCTGAAATAAATCAACATAAAGATTTATATAATCTATTTAACTAGAAAGATTACAACATTCTTTAGAGATAAAAAAGTTTTTCCTCATATGACTGTATTAGTCTAACTGATGCCACGTAAGTAATCTGCTGAATTATGATTCTAAATGGCAATTTCATAATTTTTCTAAGGACTTTAGCATAAAAATGGCTTAACAGGAAAGATTTCACAATGGAGTCAGTTACAATCATTTTATATAAGCTTCAAAAAATTTCAGCAGGCTTGTTCAGGAGTTGGGAAACTTGAGGCATGCCTGGTTCATCTCATTCCTAACTGCCCTCAAACTATAAATGTCTTTTTAAAGTAGGAAATAAAAATCACAAAAACAGCAATATGAACAGAGTATGTAGCCTGCAAAGTGTGGATTCTAGACTAGTCCATGCATTGTACTAGTTGGGAGAGAAAGAAACATTTGTGAAGAGTATAACCGGAGGTAAGAACATAGAAATTACCGGTGCCCTACTATTTTAGCTTTCAACATTTTCTTCATTACTCTCTAAATGCCAATGTACTCCAGCTCTCAGAATGCAAATGAGATTAGGTCCTGAGAATCTATAATAGATTTTATGTTCACAAGTTATAACCTGTTATTGACCAATTGTACTTCATTGAAGATAATTCAATAATGAAAAAAACTGGTTATTACTCAAAATACATTTCTAAACAGGGTGGCTACTGGGGTAGATGAGGACTGGTTAAAACACTAACAATCAGACTTAAGAACAAGGCACTACTAGTAAGAGTAAACTGTAAGGTAAGTAATTTTCAACGGTGGTAAAGATATACTGATACACACCTCAGTGTATGACATCGTTTGATTCAGTCATGATGAAAATGGTAATAAGATATTATTAGGTGAAGTCAGAAAATGTGGCTTGCTCCTTTTGCTACCTCTGATAGACTATGGCAGTAAATTTATGGTCTTTACTGGTCTGCAGCCTATCAAATGTTAAATAATTTAAAATATGTTTCATGGCCTTTCTTTTGCAAAATAGCAAAGCCAATCATTTCAAGGAACAAATGAAGCTTCCTACAAAATCCTTTTCTAACAGCTAGAAAATAAGTGATTCTTTTGTGTATTCAGATTTAATTAACTAACTGGGACCCTTCAAATTTTTCTCACCACAAAGCTCCGGGCAACCACTTCAAAATCAATTTGAGCTGGCACGAAGGTAAAGATCTGTTTTCCCTTAGCAAATAATTTAAAGTTTATCACACTTTGGTATATTTTCAATTTGTGTCCCTGGAAAAATCATAGACTAGAAAACAAGCAAATCACAAGAAGTTCTAAGCTTGAAAAATACTGAAGTGAGATGAAAATACTTGGCTCAGCATCACTGTGAGGAAGGACATATTCTTCCACCAACAGAACATTCCACCGAAATTAACACAAGCGCAAACTTACAACATATCTCAGTGAAGATTTAACTACTCAAAATGAAGCTTTAAATGTTACTATTCAAAACACTGGATTTAATGATTTGGGAATTGTCACCATAGCCTGTGAAGTACCACCAAATGAAATACGTAAGCTGTGCCACAGTGCTTTTGTCAAAACTAAAAGGCCACAGAGTTCAGCCACTACTCTCACACTGGGAAATGGTATGCACTCCATTGTTAGAAGGACCATGTGTGAGAGCCAGTTCCCTCATTTTTTTCATGATGATTCTGGTCCTATTTTCCTCCTGAAAATGAGAATAAGACCTAAAGAAGTGAATGAGGATTATGTGCTATTACTGGTAGGTATATAGCACATGGTATAATGAATCATAACATTTAAGAGTTGGTCAATAAACTATTTTAACTGCAAGGTTAAAATTATAGGAAGTTTTAAAGAGGAATACCAGTTAGGAGCAACTTAACTGTTTTCTGTTTAGCAATGTCACACCACATTAACAAACCCTCAGTCCACTATACCAAGCAACACTTGGCAAGAGCAAGAAGATATTAAGTCTTCATGTGTCTACTTATGCAGAAATAAACCACTGAAGGAACTAATAGCTTGACTCTAAAACTCCAAAACCACACACAACTAGGGAAAAATAATCTTTTACTCCACGTACTACATCTTAACATTTACCACCCTTAGAGTTTTAGGCTGCTGCTGTGTAGCAGATAGTCTCAATCTTTCCCAAATGAGATGCCAGTGATGGGGGGGGGGGGGGGGACACATACCAGAAATTGAGCTCAGGACCTGAGGTTGGCAGCCAGGCACTGCACTGCTAAGCTATATCCCCAGCCCCAAATGATGCTTTTAAAAGCTACGAGTGGACTAATGAGCAAAAAGGGAGGTTATTTAGGGTATCAGCAGAGGACTGCATGATAGAAGGTACGAGCATTTCTGGATTCATGAAGGAGAAATGGGACAGACAATGTCCAAGGGAACCATAAAATGGAGTTTATATACAATTAACATTTTTCTAATATCCACATGAAAAAAAGAAACAAGAATTAAAACACCCAGTATTTCTAAAACAGTATTATTTCAACATATAATCAATACAGAAACATTTAATGCTGGTTCAACTTGTACATTTAAATTAAAAATATAAACTGTTCCCCTGTCACTTCACCCACATTAAAAGTGCTCCATCGCCACATGTGGCTGGTGGCCACTGTCTTAAGACAGCTCACCACACTCAAGTCTCCTTCGGCATTCCTCTAAAGTGGTAGTGACTGGGGGGATGTGGCTCTGTGGCTTAAGCCCTGCCTGGCAAGCGCAAGGGTCTCAAGTTCAATCCTTAGTACCACACCCCCCACAAAGATTAAAGTGGTAGTTACACAACAAAAAGTTACATTGAGTAATTATCAGATGAAACATCTCAAAGTTTGAAAAGAGCTGCTTTACAGAAATGGTTAAAAATACATTGTTTAGGTTTTAACACCAGAGACCAGTAATTACAAAGGTTAATTAGCTCCATTATGAAAAACGAATGGCCAGATGCAGTGCTGGGCAGGAATAGTTGGCTCTCCCTCCAGGAGCTGTTAATGTGACTCCCTTTTAAGTTTTACACTTCGTGGAAAAGGAATGCCAAGAAGGATGCTTACAGTAAGAGGGGAATGGAGAAGAGAAGTGCTTTTAACTCTTTTTTTAAAATATAGCAATAATGAGATTATATATATACTTCATTTTCAAAGTGTTCTTATATATAAAGTAGATAGGAAATTTGGGTTTATGAAAGCTAAGCAGTTTTACATGCAGATAAAAAATGCTCATAAAAAACTATACAAGTAAAACCTATTTCAATAATTACTACTTTGCAAGTTCACTATAATATCAAAGGTTATGAAATAGTTCAATTTAAGTACATTATGTACTCTCGCATCATAAATACATCTATGAAATAGTATCATTCTTTTCACAAATGGAAAAGATAAGGTTTAGTGAGGTTAAATAATTTACTACACGTCACACTGGTATAAAACCCAGTTGTGACGAGCTTGATCTTTATGGGTATTTAATTTCCCAATGAAAGGAAACCCTCTACCATATATATTAACATATATGGACATGCTTATGGATGAAATATATTACCATCTGTTTCAGGCAGTTCTCTGTACCCAACGTCATTTTTATCTACTGGAACAACCAAGCCTGCACCATGAAAGGTCTTTGTCACAACCTAAGTTAAAGAAAAATAAGCAAAGTTAAATCACAGCAAATAGACCATACAAACCAAGCCAAAGATACCAAAAGGAAAAAAAAAAAACCCCACATAAAATTTCTGCTCAATACTCAAAGATATTTTGTTTTAGTAATTTGGAATCTAGAATAAAAATAGTATCTCTTTTTAAATTAGCTAAAAAGCTCCGAGACAATGTTTAGTGAAATAAATCAGACACACAATGGTTTCTCTTATATGAGAAACCCAAAATATAAATAAAGAGCAAAATAAAAGACAAATAATAGAAAATACAGAGGTAGATCTTTTTCAAATGCGAAGGGGCCCAAGAGCTCTAAGGAGTGGGAGGGAGGAGACAGGAAGGGGAAATAAAATGAATTAAAGACGTGCTAAATACAAGTACCAACTCTCCATGAGGAATGTAAGCACGTGCAGCAAATGTATACTAATAAAAATTGAAGGGAGTCTGGCTGCGATGGCAAACATGGCGTCAAGTGCTCTGAGAAAAAGGATGAGTCCTAAACCAGAGCTGACTGAAGAGCAGAAACAGGAAATCTGGGAAGTTTTGTATCTCTTTGATGCAGATGGGACAGGGACCATTGATGTAAAGGAACTAAAGGTGGCAATGGGAGCCCTGAGCTTTGAGCCCAAGAAAGAAAAAAAATCAAGAAAATGATAAGCAAAATGATAAGGAGGGGACAGGCCAAATGAACTTTAGTGACTTTCTGACTGTGATGACTCAGAAAATGTCTAAGAAAGATACCAAGGAAGAAATCCTGAAAGCTTTTAAACTCTTTGATGATGATGAAACTGGGACATCGTTCAGAAATCTGAAGCATGAGGCCAAGGAGCTGGGTGGAAACCTGACCAATGAGGACCTTCAGGAGGTGACTGATGAAGCCAACTGAGATGGAGAGGCAAGGTCAACGAGCAGGAGTTCCTGTGTATCACGAAAAAGATCAGCCTCTATTGGGACCCATGTGGTGTCTCTTGCTGCGAGAACATGTGACTAGAGTAGTACCCGCTGTCCTGTGAAATTTGGCTCCCCATTTCCCTGTAGAACTTCAGCCATGGCCTTAAATCTGATTTGGACTTCTGAAAGTGTTTTTAGATATTAAAGCTCTTTGTAAAATGAAGAAAAGAAATTGAAAAAAGTTAAAAAGCATCTGAAGTACTTATAAAATATAACTGTTAGTTATTTAGAAGGCTGTCACAATATCAGTTTCCTCTAAGGTCCAAATGTCTTCTAGACAGAAAGCATACAAACAGAGCAGAGCACCAGGTTTATTATTTAGCAAGAAGAGGAGAGAATTCCTCTTGTCCATCCTGCCAAATTCAGACCCTAATTATTTTTACCTGAAAAATTTATGCTTACTTTACCAATTCCCCCAAAAAAGGGCAGTTTCTACTTCTGTGGTACCCTTTGTACAAGTGCTAACCTTCAAAGACAAAAAAATAAACCCAGCCTAAACACCAACAAAATTCCTCTCAGTCAACATTCTTTCTTTCAGGTCTTCCCTTAGTAAATTATTTGCTACAATATTTCTCCTCTTCATATAATCCAGTGAAACCTTCCAAGGACACATCCCAAACTAAACTTATTTTAAACTTCTCTCACCTAAGTTTCTGCATCTTAAAACTTCACTCCCACTGTTTTATTGAGCCTCCAGAAAGGACAGATTATTAAAACAAGTTTTAGGCAACTGTTGACTATTTGGGAAAAAATAAAGTTACAACCCTATATTTTAATCTTCACACCAAAATAATCTGCAGTTGGATTTCAAGAGTTAGTATAAAAATGAAACTGTAAATAACTAGTAGAAGAAAGGCAAATATCATATTTTTTCCATAATTTTATGTTGGAAAAAGACGGCACTGATAAGAGCTGAATATATTAAAAATCTATCAAATAAGAATTAAGAATAAAATTATGACATTAACTGACGAAAAATACTTAAAATGTACACAACAAAATTAATAAAGATGAATCTATAAGGATGCTTTACAAACAAAAGACTCAAAGCACAAGAGTAAGATAGAAATGAGCACATATGCAACACAGAAATGAAAAATATTTAACCTCCTTTCTATCAAAGAAATGCTAATTAAAACAGTGAGGTATCACTTTATACCTAACTATGAAAAGACAAAAGAATTTAGGGGGTGAAAACTCACAAAATTAGAAACAAGCAAAGAAAACTAGACAGAAGCTCCTTAAACTGCCTTTGACCCGGCAATAATAAGTGGAGGAATTCCTTTTAGGGATATAATACGTGTGCAAATAAAAGGGCAAGGATAAGTTTACTTTGTACTGTGAAAATTAAGTAACCTAACTTTTGAATATAAGCCCATACTATGCAGTCCCTCAAAATTATGGTGTAGATCTCAAATTCAGCATCATAAAGTGACATATTCATAAACATAAGATAGGTCATCTGACTTTTCTCACAAAGGTTATTTTTTTTTTCAGTTTCACAGCTGATTAATAGGACAGTTTTGATAGTCAATACACTGTACATTGTTATCTTCTTAGTGGTTATCCGTAGTACAAGAAGCAGACAGGCTATTCTGTCCAAACACTGTTAGTACACCTCTTTCTTCTCACTGAATTAAGTGAAAATAGCTGTAAATTTATCCTAACTATTTTGTATATATAAATACAAAATGATCTTTCCTTTGTACCCTTTTTTTTTTTTTTTTTGTCTTGTCAGAGGTGAATATTCTATTGGCATCTAAATACTATAGGTGTTTGAATTCAACTAAACAATCTAACACTGTCTAGCAGTCTATAATATTAGTGGGTTATCCTCAGAAGTTATTGACTTGAGCCTTTTACAGCTCATCATATTAATATGGATTTACTTTATATACCTCATTTTTATACTTTTCTGCTGGATGGTTAAGACCAAGATATAGCAAGACCTATATAACAAGAAGTGTAACTTTTGTATCTGATAAGGTCAGCCAAGTACTCTCAGGATTTATCCTGTAGCCCTGTACTGCCTTTTGTACATCCTTTTGTCAGTGTCTGACATGAGGATGAGTCACGGCCATTGCTTGACCAATTTGCTCTTTGTGAAAGCTTGAGAAAATATTTTTTTTCTCTCCATGTGACTCTCCCCAGGCTCACTTTAGATCATCGAACACATTCCTCTGTGGTTCCATAATCTTCTTGATCAGAAAATTTGGAGCACAACTGAGTTACATGTTGTTACAGTACAGGTTCTCCTACGTTCTGAGTCTTCACTGACCTTGAAAGGCTAGGGCCAAAATGTTGGCTAACCATGCAGCCCTTCCTTTTCTCAAATTTTGATCTGCTAACTTAGGTTGTTAACCCTCCAGAAGAGAAGCTAATTATTAATCTGCAATATATGCAGTTCGGTTTACCCTATCTGTTGAAATATCAAACATTTTGGCATAACATGGAACAGGTATTTTCCATCAGATATTGATATGTTGAACTTTAAGTCCTTACAGAATATGAAGGAAAAATAATTATATAAAAGTAGAAATAAGCATTTACATATTTTTACAAAGAAATTTAGAAACCTAACCATATATGGAATTGTAAGTCCTTGTATTAGGGAGACAATACGATATTTACGGATGTGGGTCTGGTTTTTTTTCACTAATAAGTATATCTTCAAGGGGCATCCACTTAAATATGAAGGCTTCAAGTTTATCATTCTTTATAGCTAAGTAGTCCTCCATTATATAAAAGTACCACATCTTTTTCAACCATTCCACATGTGATGGGCATTTTGATTGTTTCCAAGATCTGGCTATCACAAATTGGGCTGCTATAAACATAGGTACACATATATTACTATGAGATGATGCTTTCAGTTCCTCCAGGAAAATTCCCAGTAGGGGGATAGCAGGCTTGAATGGGATTTCCAGTCCTAGTTTTCTAAGGAGTTTCCACACTGATTTCCATAATGGTTGCACCATTCTACACTCCCACCAACAGTGGAGAAGGGTTCCCTTTTCCCCACAGCCTCTCTCACAAAAGTTAAATGACACACAGTAAAACCCAAAGTATATCTGTATTTTCACAGATGACAAAGTGCACTAATTACCCATAAAGATGTCTATCATTAGTAAATGATAAGAATACTAATGTTATGAGGAAGGACAGGATTCCTAACTTAGCAGGAACCTCCACTGGGTTGGGTGATGTCCTGAGATATAAGATTAGACATGAAAAGAATAAGGCCCAAAAACTTCATTTTTCACAGCATTATTTATCCATTACTAAAAATGAACAAACATAGGTAGAAAAACGGAAAGTGGCACAGAGCTAACTAATTGGTAAGATGTAGAGGAAAGAATACTAAATATGGAACTTCAGATCTCCACTGATGACTTTCAGCAAAGCACAAAGTTTCAATTTAGTTATCTATAAAACAGGGTAATTCCTACACAGCAGATTTGTTATAGGGGTAAAATGAGTTAAGTTATATAAAAACTTCGATTTCCAAAGTACGATAAGGTACTGGCTGTGTAAAGACACTGATTTCTTAAAACTGGGGGTGTAGCTCAGTGCTGAAGCTGACGAGGAGGAGCTTCAGGAGATGTTTAGGAGCAACCTAAACTTGTGCCTAGCAGCACAAGGCCATGGGTTCAATCCAGTACCACAAAACAAACACTAACTTCCAGTGCGCTACACAGTGCTACATTATACATAAGTGGATATATTATTAGTTGTATACATAAGACAAACGAATTTCTGCTAATAAGTGAATACAAATCAAATGAAGCTCTGTCAATCATATTTTAAAAACTTACACAAGGGGCCGGGGAGATGGCTCAGTGGAATAAGTGCTTCCCTGGCAAGCACGAGGGCCTGAGTTCAATCCCCGGTTCCAAAACAAAAACAAAAACAAAAACCTTACACAAAAAGGATCTGAAAACAATTACTAACGGGAATATAATGATTATACTGGGCTGGGAGATGGCTCGGCAGTCTAAGTGCCTGCCTGGCAAGCATAAGGACCCTGATGGATCCCTGGTACTCCACGCTCTGCTGGCCACTGAAGCGGGGCATGGTGGTGCATGTCTGTAATCCCAGCACTGAGGAGGCTGAGACGGGATCACTACGAGTTCAAGCTGCATAGCGAGACCCTGTACCAAATAATTAAAAAAATCATGATTGTCTTGTAAGTTCTTCTTTTTATGTTTTTTACCACCCATTTTGTACTAAAAATACTAAAAATTTATAGGGTAGGGAGCCAGAATAAATACACTTATGAAATTTAAATCTTAGTAATACTTATAACTATGGGGAAGAATTCAGGAAATCTGCTGTGAACTACATTGTAATTTGTGGTAGAAAAATAAAACCAAGTTCTGATTAAAGAATTTGCCAGCAAGTGTTAAGCCTACAGAGGCTCAATCTATAACCGAGACAAATTAAGAATACATAGTAACAAGGGAGCCCTGCTATTGTTCCTTCTAGTCATATGGTGAAAGAAACTTCCTAGGATAATCAGGAGGATAAAATGCCAATATAAAATCTTAAATTTTAAAATGTCATAATATAATGAGTGTCATTAAAAGGTACATTTTTGGAAATTATTTCTAGTCTTTGGGACTAAAGAAAAAACTGTTACGAGTACAATTTAGCATCTACGACTTATCAGCAACACCCCTGCAGCTGAATCAGGGTCAGAAAAGGAACTGAAGCAGGGTTTCCAGTAAATGAGCACACTAAGGTTCCCGCCCCAGGACTAATTTATTCAGCAGAAGCCCGTAAGGAAGCTCCTGAGGACACGGCACCCAGTTCTCTCAGGTTCAGATGGAGTGTGAGGGGAGAAATCAGAAGGAAACAATCAACAGATTGAAACCGTACTTTCTTGTCTCTCTGTTTCATCTTCACGGTTCTCTGTTCCAGGGAGTACCCCAATTTTCTTGCTGTCTGTGTGAGTTTTTCATCTATGTTTTTCAAGAAACTAACTTTCTTTTTATCTGTTGCTTCTTTAAGCCTTTTCATCAAAAATAATCTGAAAAAGTAAAAACTCTCATTATATTGCTGTAATAATTATATACTTGAAATATTTTTAAGTTAATGGCAATAAAAAGAAATCAAATTCCATGCAAGAAAGTCTGCAGAAAAATTGACAATGGCTCTCTCCAAGTTCCTAATAGTTTTTGTCAAACAAGGGAAAGGTAATATTAATAAAAAGCTGCTAGTCATAGAAATAGAAAATATAACTAAGTCTGTACAACTTTATTGTAGACATTAGAGAGTTAAGGCCTATTTTAAAAGCTGAAGTTAAGTCACATTTTAAGTTGTATCACTCAAATATTAAGATGTGGCATACTGCTTTGGGTCAATTTGGTGTAAGAGGAAAAAAAAAATACCATGTATGTATCCAAAATGATTATTCACTTGTAAAGAGCCAGAGAATGTTCACAATATTTAAGTCTATTAAGTTTTAAATACTGTTAACTTCAAGTCTGTGTTGATTTAGAAAATGTAAAAGGAAAGCAAAGTTTACAGGCTTATCCAAAACTATAATCCTGGGTGGGGGAGACAGCTCAGTAGAATAAGTGCTTTCCTGGCAAGCGCAGGGTCCCGAGTTCAATTTCCAGTACCAAAAAAAAAAAAAAAGCCCCAAAAAACCCAACTATAATTCAAGTAATTTTTAAAAGGACAATACATTAATGACAGAATAACGTTACATTTTAACATAAAAAGTGAGTCTTGCCACCAGTAAGCAGTGTATGAAGTCAAGTTTAAAAAGAAGAGAAGTGGTGCTCCACGGACAAGCCATCCCCATCTCCCGTAGTTAGTACCAAAACCCAGTAGGGAATCCACTTCTGTGTGCTACCTACCTTAGACACTACACTTCCTCACTGTAACACTGCCATGGGCTGAGGGCTCACTGTGAAAGGCTTAGAACACTGACAGTGGGCTGCTGTTCTTCCCTCCATTTTACATAACAAGAAACTGAGGCACAAATGATCATCAACTTACCTGCGTGAGAAAGCTAGTAAGGGTAAATTAATGTGCCAATGAAACCCAAGCCACCTAAACCAGTGGCTTCTGATTATAGCATACATATTACATCTCACCTTCAATCATCATAGGCTATACACTAAACGAACATATTTGTATTAACTATAAAAAATAAAGTTAATCACATTAGGCCTATGTAAACCAATCTTTAGTCTTCCTGGCCATCAAGAATTCTGTGCTATGTATTTTTTTTTTTTTTTTTTATGTTCACATATTGTTATGGTTTGTGTCTAGGTATCCCCCCCAAACCTCATGCAGCTATGGGACAGACTTCAAGAATTTGTGATTAACTCATGATGCAGTGCTGGGATTATGGGTGTGAGTGCTGCTGGGATTATGGGTATGAGTGCTACACCTACAGAGAGACTTGCTCTCTGTTGCCATCGTCGCCTCTGCTCCTCCCTTTTGCCTTTGCTTGTTGCTCTTGCTGTTTTGCTGTTTTCTGCAGCATGAATGGCTGTCCTCTGCCATGTTACAGTCTGCTGTGGACCCAGCTGAGTATGGACTAAAACCTCCACTAACTGTGAGCTAAAGAAACCTTTCCTTCCTTCATTTTGGGTGTTGGGTACTTGGTCCCAGCAAGGAGAGAAAAGTAACTACTCCCTTGCTAATACTCTCTCATCAAAGTTGTGGTGCAGCCATCAAAGCTCTTCACTCGTCATCATGACTTTCTGTGAGTTCATTAAGCTTTTGTCTCAACTACAAGCATACTCTCTAACACACTGCTTCGTGATGTTTCAAGATAAGGCACAGCATGCAAACTAAAACTACAGCCATCAACATCCTGTGTTCCGTCACACTAAATATAGTGAAATGTCTTGAAGTCTACATGAATGTTTGCACTATGCCATGTTTCATAGGATTATCCAGTGGTGACTTGGAACACACTGGTCAGTTCTGTGGATCTTTTAAATGTTAAGTTTTCATTACATCAAATTAATTCTATTATATAAAAATATGAAAACAATCACATTCAAGTAAAAAGTCTTTAGTGAAGAGCTTTCAAGCTCAGTAATGTTCACAGTACTATAGCTTCCAGTCTGATTTTTGTTAGAAATTTTGAATTTTATCACTGGCAACAAATACAGCTCATCATTTCTGTTTTGGGCTCAACTGAGAAAATAACTGCTCCACAAGTACCCACGCCCAAACCCCAGCTCAGCAGTAACTCACTCTACCAGTGAAAGCGGGAAAAAGTTTGCTCACAGCTCAATCTAAGAGTCTATTCTCTTGAGACAAACCGCACTACTTCACTGTGTAGAAGTGCTGTCTCTGTATTCCTTCTTTCATCACACAGAGTGTTAAAAAGTAGAAATCTAAACACTTTTTCCTCACATTCTTAAATGACACTTGCCTTGTGTAACTGCTGTGCAAATGTGGTGGCTACTGTAATTTTGGTGTCACTACCTTGATTCCTGTCAAAATGCCAACAATCATGTCCCACAATTACCTCTGTGTTGCACAAAAATAATGCTTTATTATGAATAGTTCTGATCCTGTGATTAGGATAAAAAAGGGTCCCTAAGACCATTTAGGAGGCCCATGAGGTTAAAACTAATTCAGTATTTTTAGGATAAAAAGGGAAAGGGAAAGAAAGAAAACTCATTCTTAATTTTGCTGCCCAAAGAGAAATAAAATTTATCTGTAAAATTTTGAATATTAGATTTTCTTCACTGGCATTAAACAGTGTGAGATGGAAGCATTGTACACATCTGTTATTTCCCTTCTTCCCAACAAATTAGCATTGTGGCATTACAGAACATGAATATTTTATATTTATTTACCTAATCTTTCCCACAGATAGATATATAGTATACAATTCACATTTGGGTAAACATCAACTTCTTTTTAACAGCTTGACTGGAACTGCTGACTCAAGGGTAGAAATACATACTTAGCACAGTATCTGGCAATGTTCATTACCTATCAAGAAATCTTGGAATATGGTTAAACCTTTCTCAAACTACTCTCTACAAGTTTTTGCATGAGCAATTATACCACAAAGGTTTCTTTCACCTTATCACTCACTGTTTTTTACTATTGTTTAACCATTACTAATCTTTGCTGTCTTAATGTGCACTGCTTCAGTTAAAATGAAATCTTTCACACAGAACTTTTCTGAAGCACACAGATAATTTGTTTGTAACAAATAATCTGCTTTGAAAGATCTTACTTAGGCTGCTATATAAGTAAATGAAGAAACCAAATGTTCCAATTAGCTGACTTAAGGAAGGGATCTTAAAAATAAACTACTTAATACTTTTTAAAATAATAGGTTTTTTTTTCCCTTTAAGTAATAGTCAATCCATTTGAGCAGTTCCTCAAGTACTTACTTCCTAGTCCTTACCTAAATTAAACTATCACCCATGCTTTTGGTTTTTCATTTTCCTTTTTGTTTCCCAATGAACATGCCAGAACAATCCTGAATTACGTTAGACAGTCACTATCTTTTTTTTTTTTTTTAATTATTTATTTATTTTTATTACATTTATTTATTGTGTGTGTGTGTGGCCAGCTCAGCCCACCAGGGGGCAGGGCTGGCTGGCATGTGGTGCTGGGGGATTGAACCGTGGTCCCTGTGTTTTGCCAAGCTTGTTTCAAGTAGGTGCTTTAGACCACTGAGCCATCTCTCCAGCCCGACAGTCACTATCTTATCTTTCTTCTAAAAAGATTTCTACTAACACAAGTAAGTTTAATAATATAAATTAAAAATTAGGTGTTTTATATGCCAAGGTACATATTTTCAAGATGAATAAATAATAATATATCATGATACACAGCCTTGGTCCTCATGGAACTTACTGTTAGGGCAAAAGACAGACAATAAGTAAATAAACAATGATAGCTTCTAACGAAGATGGCACCGATTTAAATGGAGTGATAATCTCTAGAGTTTAAAAGTTACATAAATTACAAATACCATGCAACATTTTCTGTAAAACTTACAGTTATCAAAATAGAGAAAACATGCTTTCCTTAGTCATCTATAATGTATTTGCCCTTCACATAGATCCAATGAAACAGCATAGAGTAGTGCAGTGGCTCTGCTAGGTAGATTTCAATTCTCTCGAGTTCTCTAAATTTGGACTAAGTCACAAGGATAAAAATTCTTAAAAAAAAACTATTAAAAGAGGTCACACAAAGCTTCAGTTACCTATTATATTTAAAGTAATAAAAAGACTATTTTCTGGCTGGGAATAGTGCATCCTGTAGCTACTCTAGACACTAAGGCAGTAGGATTCTAAGTTTGCCAGTTTGGGCAATGTGAGACCCTGTCACAAAATAAACAGGACTACAGTGTAGCTTAATGGCAAAGTGCTTGCCAAGGCTCTGGGTTCAATGCCTAGGCATCATTCAAAACATGTTTTGTTACAATGCAAACTACACAGCTGCTGACAAGTGGTTAGCACATCAGGTCTGTGCCTGATACCATACTCAGCTCCATTCCAGCCCCACCCACTAAAAGCTTAGTGAATTTCCCATAATTCCACTCAGCCCAGGCTCTACTTGGAATAAGGATTTTTTTTTCTTTTGCTCTGAATGCCCTCAGGGGTGGTTTGGCTGGCTGGAGTGTTGTGGGATCAAACTACAGCAACCTGAGGCTGAAAGCTTTGCCGAAGCAGCCACTTAAAGAACTGAGCTAGGGCCAGGCCCCTAAACAATGATTTTTTTTTTTTTTTTTTTTTTTGGCGGAACTGGGGATTGAACTCAGGCCCTTGTGCTTGCCAGGCAAGCGTTTATACTAATGAGCCATCCCCCAAGCCCAACTTGGAATCTAGCTTTGCCCAAGTAGATACAATTCTTTGAAATCCAAAAGGCAGAAGAGCCACAAGGTAGCAGCTATGCTTGTCACCTCCCCCAGTGATTATAGAGACATTTAATGGTTCTGTAGTAGCTATAGGTAAAATTTTAGTACCTGGCAGATGAAAGGCAGAGGGCAGTGAATAGATTTTCCTGGCACAGGCTATAGCAAAGACAATGTTGTGCTGGACAACATGGTGACAGCAGCTGATTTCCCGGGCCTGGTAACACACTGACTTAAACACCATTGGTGAGCCAGCTCTGCCACTCACCTGTCATTGCTGGAGGTTAGAACATTCCATCAGCTTGCTGAAGAATTTTATGAGCATCTACTCTACTGTACCAAACCTTTGTGCTGAATTATGCTGTGGGTCTTTTAATGAACCCACCATGCAGAACAGAGTTTAAAACTACATGTCTAAAAACCTTTTGGTTTTACCAGGAGATATCTGAAATCAAGATTAAGTATCTGTCTGTTGTATCTATCTATGGCCTTTAAAATGCTAACAAGTTCTCTACTATGAGCTATATACTCCAGCCCAAAATTAAGCTAAATTAAGTGAAATAATTATATCTGAGGTGTATTTTTTGCTCGAGTGGCATTAAAGGAGTGTGTAAAAGACTATATGAAAAATCATAGAAATCATCTCTAGAAATCTACAATTTGTGGTGACCCTAATTCCCCTTAGGAAAGGACTGTAAACATGTGAACAAATATTTAATTATAAATAAAATATTTTCTTACTTGACTGCAGCAAACACATTATCTCCAGTTTGAACAATTATACAATTTTTCTTTGCTTCATTTGTACCAATATATACAGGAAGTTCATCAGGAGAATCTCTGTTTTAACAAAAGAAATTAAAAATTTAGTTGTCTATAACCTGTATTATCAAGGCAAGAAGAATTTTATGCCTCTAGATAATAATTTATACTGATAAAAATAGATACAAATTTACCAAGTTGAAACTTCAAGTTTCGTAGGAATATCTGTGACAGATCTTGTCTATACAGGAGGATCTAAAATTTAGATTGTTAACACCAAGTTATTTTAGACCCCAAAACAAAAAAAGGCAAAATAAAGCCTCTCACAGGATGAAAAGATAATTATATATAACCACTGATCTCCCACATTTTAGAGTTTGTTAAAAAAAAAAAAAAGAAAACCAAAACAGAAAGAGGACAGAGCACTATATTCGTGTAAATAACCAAGTCCTTTTATTTTAAAATCAAGGAAACAAACAGAAGCTATTTAACCAAGTTTCTAGTAAATTAGTGTCAACGCCAGAAAGTAGAATCCATGTGACTCAGTTCCAAGCCCATACATTTTCTGGTATCTGACATCTCCCTTTATGCGTATTTCACCTTTTCTTCTATTATCTTATACTTAATCTCTATATTTTCTTTTTCTTTTTTGTGGTACTAGGGATCGAACTTCAGATCTTGCACTTACCAGGCAAATACTTATGCTACTGAGCTGTCTCCCCAGCTTAATCTCTATTGTCAAGAATACCTCTACTGGTACAAATGGACAAGGTATATTCCACCTCCAGCTCTTTTTTTTTCTTAACAGTCTAAGCATCTGCATGTATTCATTTAATGATCACAATAGTTCTAAATTCCATCAGATATGTATAATTATGCTCACTGTTTCAGAAGAGGAAACTGAGTCACAGAAAGTCATTCACTAATGCCTTGCATGGGGTAACCAAGATAATAGACAAATATCTCTGATTTCAGAATCTGCTCTTACCTACATAATCCCAGGAAGTACATTGCACAGTTTATGTAAATCAAAACAAGTGCTCTGAATTATCCTTGTTGGGTTGGTTAAAGGAGATTCTTGAACCCAAAAGGGAAAATAAATTGTTAATCACAAAGTAAAAACTGGGGAAGTGCAACCTCAAGAGTTCACCATCCTAGGCTAGGTTAAAAAAGTAACAGCAGCAAAAATAACAGCTGGCTCACATACCCGCCAATACAGGGGAAATAGGCCTGTCATGCGGGTGATGCCAGTGACTATATTTATACTCATGAACAAGACAAGAGCTGTACCTTAGAGAAGAAAATATTCTTTACCTGAAATACCCCATGTGGTACTGAGTTTTATTATCACCAATAATAATGGTCTGGAACTCAGGAGGATCATAGTAAAACCTCCAGTGAAGATTACAGTTCAAGGCTATTGATTTTTTCTTCATTTTATGTTTTCCAGCGAGGATATCATAAGGACCCACTAACTGTAGTCCAAGGCTTGTGGAAAGTGCATCTGTAAAGAAAATTTTTTTAGGAATACTTTCTGGAGGAAAACAAGGAACAGTTTTTTTTTATTAGTTAGCTATTTCTAAGCAACTACACTAGTCACAGCGTGAAGATGTTCCTTATAAACACTCATAGAAAATAAGTCAGAGAAATAGAAACGTGGTGTTAACATTCAGGATTTCCTCTTAACTGTATCACTGAATGAGCTTAACATTTCAAACATTCCTGCTGTCTCTTCTTTCAGCCAAAGCAGGACTTTGTATTCCTACTGGCATACAGAGCCACAGACACCTTGGGTCACTACCACACTTCTATTAGCTCCAAAAAACACGGAGTAAGGGAGAGACAACAAAGATAGCAAAAAACATGGGTTAAAGATGATAAAGAATATTTTCTTCCCTTTTTATCTTGGCTGTCATTCCAGATTTCCTTACCTCCTAGATAATCTGTCTGCCAACCCTAACCCTGACAATTTCATCTTCTTTGTCCACTCACAGATCACAGAGGGAGGAGTGCCAAATAAAACCACAGTCATGAACTTTATATGAATGTACAACTTGACCTTCACTTGGGCCCTTGGTGCTTCAGTAAGCAACCCAGAAATGACCCAGTTATAAGAAGGCAGGGTGGAAAGTGCAAGACAATGCCTAGAAGAGGTAACACCATGATTAAAAGTTACATTCTTAGTTATATAGGTCTTTGCTTTAACTTGGTCTTAACAATCCAGCAGGAAAGTGTAACCATGAGGTATAAAAAGTAAGGCTATATTAATATGCTGAGCTGTAAAAGGCTCAATTCACCAACTTTGGACAATTGTCAGTTGTGCTGATAACTACTATTATGGACTATTGGGCTATATTGGGTTATTTTGCTAAATTCAAGTAGCTACAATATTTGAACTGGCATCGATTATGAAAAGACCCTTTAAAGACTTCTCCATATACAGCTTCTCCAACAGCAATGGAACACCCATCTCTGGCAAAACAAAATAAAAAAGGGGAATATAAAGGACCATTTTATAGTGAAAAAAATATATGTGTATACAAGATAGTTAGGATAGATATGCAGCTACTTTCTCTTGGTTCAATGAGAAGAAAGGTTTGTACTAAAAGTGTTTAGACAAAATTTCATGTCTATATCTTGTCCTCTGAATAACTACCACAAAGACAATAATAGGTAATGCATTAATTATTAAAAAAAAGTATGGACATACTCTGAGGAGTTGGTGAAGGAAAGTGGAATGAGTTTGGCTTATCAAGAGGGTAAAGGAGAGAGTAATTCATTTTTAAAGCAACAAGAAAACCATAAGCACCAATGTTACCTGATAAAATTAACATTCATAGTCTGCTACACAAGGGTAACTTTCCATACTTTCCTCTACTATACATAAAAGTAAAAAGCATAAAACATTTCAAAAGTGAGGTATTTAGTAATCTGCTTTTTATCTTCCATCCTATCTCCACTAGATTTTTCTGTACATTTTCTCATGCTTTTAAGTGCTATTTTATAGGATCTTAAATATAGTTTGATATTCCATTATAAAGACATGTCCATCTATTCTGATGGATATGTACTATTTTTATTCTTTTCTGTTCTAAAAAGGTTTGAGTCACACATTTTCTAATATTAGTACACAGCTATAATTACTTTTTTAGAGAAAGTGCTACAGTGTTCAATAAATGTTTTGATATAATGCCAAAATTCAGAGTACATATGTTTTCCTATATAGTGTATAAGAATATTTATATTATATGAAAAAAGGGATTATAGTAAAAAAAACTCACTCCATCATAATCTACGATTAATCTCTTATTTTTGTTTTGTTTTGTTTTAGGGGAACTGGGGATTGATGAATAATCTCTTGTGCAGTCTTTTTTTTCCCCCATAATTTTATTGAGAAACAAATAGCAAAGAGACAGTTTCAAACAAAATTGGTAGGACAGTTTCAATAATTAACACATTGCATACATTCTTCCTAGTGGTTAATTGCTGTACAAGATGCGGACTTGGAGCCGGGGATGTGGCTCGGTGGCGCAGCGCCTGCCTAGCAAGCGCGAGGCCCCGAGTTCGATTCCCGGTACCAAAAAAAGAAAATAGTGAAAATAAGACCAAAAAAAGTCCTTTGAAAAAAAAAAAAAGATGTGGACTTGATATCCTATTTACAAACACTACTAGAACAAATCCCTCTATTCATTAAGAGAATGTAACTATGTATCTATTCTAACCATTTTGAATACACAGATACAAAATGGACATATCCCCTTTTCTTGTTTAGTTCCATTATTTGACTATTATAGGTGTGTTAACTCAGCAAAATATTCTAAAAGAGTCCAGTAGTCTATAATAGTATTGGGTTTTCCGCTTGACAGGCAATGTCAGAAATTGTTGACCTGAGTCCCCTACAGCTCAATGTAACAGCATGGCTTTACTTCTTATACTTTTCTGCTGGATGGTTAAGACCAAGATAAAGCAAGACCTATGCAACAAGAGTTGTAGCTTTTGGGTCTGATAAGGTCAGTGAAATCCCCTCAGGATTTATCCTGAGATCCTGTACCTCAGATTGTAGATTCTTTGTCAGTGTCAGCCATGTGGATGAGTCACAGCCATTGCTTGGCCAATGTGCTCTCTGTGAAAGCCTGAGAGAATGTTTTCTCTCCATGTGACTCTCCTTAGGCACACTCTACATCATCGATCACTTTCCTCTTTGGTCCCATAATCTCCTTGATCAGAAAATTTGGGACACTACCGAGTTACATGACGTTACAGTACAAGTTCTCATTTGTCCTGAGTCCTAATTGACCTTGCAAGGCTAGGGCTAAAATGTTGGATTTCCTCGCGGCCCTCCTTTTTCTCTAATTTTGGTCTGCAAACTTAGGTTGCTAACCATCCAGAAGACAAGCTTATTGTTATTACCATACAACCTAGGCTGTTAAGCTTGACCTCACTATCTGTCTGCATATCAAACATCTTAGGCATAACATGGAACAGGTATTTTTCATGTATTGATATGTTGAACTTTAAGTCCCTACAGAATATGATGAAAAACATTTATATTCTTTTTTTTTTAAAATTTTATTTATTTGTGTGTGTGTGTGTGTGTGTGGCCAGCTCAGCCCACCAGGGGGTGGGGCTGGCTCGCATGTGGTGCTGGGGGATTGAACCTCGGTCCCTGTGTTTGCCAAGCTTGTTCTAAGTAGGTGCTTTAGACCACTGAGCCATCTCACCAGCCTAAAAAAAACATTTAAAAATTAGAATATTTTAAAAATAGGCATAAAGAATTATATAATTCTTATGTTAACACATAAGTCCAAAAATCTAACCATATACAACCTTGAAGCAGGACAGTCCCACAACATCCCTATTCCTGTCTCCTGCCTTTATTCACCACCCCCTTCTTTTTGAACGATCATCTAGCCGAGAGACAGCACAGTAGCAACTGGCATGTCATGACAAGCAGCCCGTATTCAGAAGACCAGAATGATAAGCACTTCAAGCATGAACCAACTATTACAAATTGCCATCTTCAGTGCAGTTACTTAGTTCACAGGTGTCTGTATATATAGTTAGTCAGGGTGAGAATCTTTCCAATTAACTGCTAGATTCAAAAATCTGGACGTTCTCAGGATCATTGCCTTGCCCATCTTCTAAATATAACTGTATGGCTTGTCACTGTCATGTTTCCTAGCTCTTCTCCTTTCCCTCTCTTAATTAGTTAGTCCTCGAGTTCTCTTGTGCAGTCTTTCAGAGAGAATAAGCAAGTGAAAACTACACATGGTGTGTGTGTATCCCCAGCCTTTTTTTTTTTTTTTAAATGAGGGCCGGCCACATAGCTCAGTGGACTAAAATGCCTGCTTAGGCAGAGTGCAGCAGCTGGGGTTCGATCCCTGGCGCACCCCTAGGGTGCACCTAGATGGCGATGGAGACTGGGCATGGTGATGCACGTCTGTAATCCCAGCTCTTGGGAGACTAAAAACGGGAGAATCAGAGTCTGGTCTATGTAGTGAGACCCTGTACCAAATACATCAAAAAATAATAATAAATAAAAATGGTGCAATAAAAACTATACTTTTTTTCCACTTGGCATATTTTAGAAATGAGCCTTTACATTTCCTAAAATTTGGCCTTGTTCTTTTATATCTATGAATATGCTCTGAGTAGATAAGTTATTGATGAGCATTTAAGCCATTTCTCATGCTTCCTTTCAGTAAATACCTTTGAATAGTTCTTTACCTAATCTAGTAGATAAGTTCATAGAATGGCTAACTCATACTAAAACTCCTGTTATATGTGCTTATCCTTCACACTGATAGCAAAGAATGTCATGAAATTACTTGCCTTTGCTAATATATTAGGTAGTAGAGGCATGTTAGGTTTCTTTTACTATACTGTACTTTTTTTAAAGAGCAGAATATATTTAATGGGGGCCAGGGAGATGGCTCAGTAGAATAAGCACCTGCCTGGCAAGCACAAGGGCCTGAGTTCAATCCCCGGTTCCACAAAAAAAAAAAAAAAAGAATATATTTATTGGGGGAGAAAGCAAGCTCCTGTCCAAGAGGAGAACAGGAGGGGGTCCCCAAGTGGGTGATCCCCGAATACTGTATTTCTTAAACTATAAAAATGTTCTTTTTCTATGAATTATTTTTATCCTTACTCTGGTTTCCTATTATATTTTCCACTGGTAGAAACAGGAAGATTTTGGTGTAACTCACCAGCTGGCTTTTCAGGATCAAGTTCTTCACAGAACTTCCAGAAGTGATAGAAGTCTTCAGGAAGGGAGAGCTTATAATGATTTTCTACTTCTTTTCGAAGATCACTGGAGACATCAGCTTCACAGGATTTACTTTTCTTCGCATCATCTGCCTTCACACACTAAAAATTACCATACACCACTTCAGTTCTCTAGAAGTCATTTCTGTGACTTTCCTCGCATAACAATATTGCTCATTCTTATTTACTCATCTCTGAGGGCTTTGGGGGTGTGTATGGGTATGTATGATTCAACTACTCTAAATAGTTTATCTGAATAAAAAGCTGGGGACTCTTTCGGGCAAGGAAAAGGGATTTACACAGTATGTTTTCTAACATATTTCTTTTAAGATAATGAAAAAAAGAAAAAAGGAGTAAACCTCTAGCAGAAGGCAGGAGAAGAATAAGAGCAGATTTTGCCCTCTTTGGGCTAACAAGATACACTCATCTTTTGTTTAAACAAATTCCCCAATCACACCAGAGACATCAGAAATAAGTGGATATAAGAGATTTATTAGTGAAAAAGCTGTTTCTTCAGCAAAGTCCAATAGAATTATATACAACTAGAGTATATATAATTGCTGAGAAGTTAGTAGAACAGCACTGAATGCTGAGCAAAAACCCCTATTATTTCGCAAAAGACCCTTGAATATGAGGATTAGGTTGTAAAACTCATAACTCTAGTAGCTCTACAATAAAAGTATACCAGGGGTTGGGGAGATGGCTCAGTGGAATAAGCGCTTCCCTGGCAAGTGCAAGGGCCTGAGTTCAATCCCCGGTTCTGCAAAAAATAAAAATAAAAAATAAATAAAAGTATACCAGGTTTTGTAAGGGATAAAAGGTACCTGATAAATTTCTGTAAAGATTTTTTTTTTTTTTTTGGAGGTTACCTATCTTTAGTTTTTAAAGTGTTAGTATTTTTCTTTCTGGGAACCTAGATCCTTTCTTCTTGGATTATTTGTCTTCCAGTACTGGGAACTGAATCCAGGGCCTCACATACATTAACCAAGTTCTCTCTCACAGAACTACATCCTTAGCCTTTTTCATTTTGAAACGGTATTGTTAAATTGCACAGGTCAACTTTGACCTTGAAATTCTTCTGTTTCACCTTCCCTAAGCAGCTGTGATTATTGGTAACTCTACAACAAGCCTAGATTATGTCTTGTTTTAGTCTTTCTACTTAGATCAGTCATTTTAACCAGGAACAATTTTGCCACTCCCCCTCTCCCTTGGAAACATTTAGTTTTCATAGAGGTTTGGTCAAAATTTGAAAAAATATTGCTCAATATTCTGCAATGGATCAATTACTGGGGAGGCACCAAGATGGCAGAGTGGTAAGCAGCAGAGAAAGAGCCTCTCTGAGTGTTACCATCCATACACTAGAATATAACAATGTGGGGAAAACAAGAAGTAGGGAAGTGGGTTCCCTGAACCCATGAAGGATCTAAAGTCCAAACTGAAGCCTATGGAGAGAGTGAAAAGAGAAACTTCAATGGAGGAAGAGGTAGCTGGCGGTGCCTTTTCCCTGAGATGAGACTCATGGCTCAAGATTCAAACCTGTGAACACATGAATCCTAGAGGTCTACACAGAGAGATGCAGCAGTGGAGGGAAGCAGTAAACACCAAGGACTGTATTAGCTGGCACTAAGTACAGAGGGCTCAGTCATCCCATACAATAGTGTGACTGGGATCCATCTTGGAGAGAAGCCAATTGAGCTCAGAATTCAGGGTGGCTGTTGGCTCCATCTAGCAGCTCCCAGCTAGGCTCAGGCCCAAGAACTTATGCTGACGGCTACAGGCCGAATGAGTCTGGTCTTGTGCAGGCTTGCTGAGATTATCACTATCCTACAGAAAAGCTACGCTGGCTTGCTAGGATAAATCAACAGGGATCAGGACTCTGTCTCCACACCTACCAGTGACCGCAGAAGCAAACCTGGAAGTGGACCTTTTTTTTCTTTCTTGTTTGTTTTTGTGGGGTTTTTTTTCTCCTTCATTGTTTGATCTTGCTTATGTATGAGTTTGAATGTGGCTTCTAGCTTCTTTGTGGTAGTTTTCTTCTCTTTTTATCTCTTCCTTCTCTTCTAAGCTTCTGCACCAGTTTTCCAATGTTAGCATGACCACCCTTTGTCCTACTGCCTTATAACAATGTCTTCCTCTTCTATTTTTTCCCTAAACCCTTTGAAATTTTAACCTCTGAAGGTAAAATTGACATATTAAGGACTTATATACTGCATATAATTTTCTGTTTTGTTTTAGATTCTGTTATATAACCACAGTAGTTATAATGTACTATAATCTACTATAATGTAGTAATACTGTTAAAAGTGGGACACTAATGGTTATCTCAGTTGTTATTTTCTGGCTGTGATTGATGCTACTGTTACTGCTGAAGGTAGCACTTTACTCAAAAGTGACATAACTGTTCTAAACAGCTATTCTTCCTGGTACTCTAAGACTGAGACTCATAAAGTATCATAGAAAATATTGTGGCATGGTACCAGAGAAGCAGGGGCTGGGCAAACAGGCAGCAAGCTCTCATCCCCAACAAACTGAAGGTGTAGAATCTTTTTTTTTTTTTTTTTTTTTTTGTGGAACCAGTGATTGAACTCAAGCCCTTCCCCTTGCCAGGCAAGCGCTTATTCTACTGATCCATCTCCCCAGCCCCCTTGTAGAATCTTGCAACAGACTCAAAATCCAAAACCAGCTACACCTGAAAAATGCCTTGGTGAACTAGTAATTCCCTAAAGGGTTTGAAATATCAGCAATAAAGAAAACACCATAGGCAATTTACAAGCATCACTCCATGAATTTAAATGAAAAAAAGCAAAAGAAAATGAGAAGACACTTAAACAAGATGCCACCCCAGACATCAAATTGACCAAAGGCAAACCCAGGGGGCAATGAGGTGGGACAACCCAAAAGCCACCCACTCAGCATCTCTGAAGTGCTAACAAAGCAACTGAATAAGGCTCTAAAACAAATCATATCAGAAGTAATTTCTCTGATATCTGCAGAGAT